CTGGGTTTCAGGAAGCGACAACTCTGAACAAGTGAGCTCTTGTGTCTGCGCTTCTTCAAGTGGCTTTGCTGTTCTGTTTCGCTGAACTGGAAATGAGCCTTCATCATCACTTGCTTCACTGTCACTTGTACACATGGGCTGAGTTTCAGTTACAGACTGAACGTCGCTAAGGCCCTTCTCCTGAGGCCGAGCTGCCTTTGCACCATCCTCCTTGAGGGATCTCGGCTGAATTTGTTGAACAGAGCAAACTGGATTTTCAGCTGCCAGATCCTCCTCTCCTGCAAAAGGCAACATTGGTTGGGTTTCTGCTATGGCAAGAGTAGAAGAGGCAGTAAAGTCTGAAGGCTGTGTCTCACAAGCATCATCATCTGCATCATCCTCAGCGTGACTGTATGGCTCTGCAACATATGCCTGTGTTGCTTCTAAGGCCACATCTACTTGATATCGCTCAGGCTCTTTATCTTCTACATAGTCCTGTGTGGCCTCCAGGTTCGCGTCATTTTCTGCAGAGGATCTGTCTGCAGCTGACATGGCTGCATATGCTTGGGTATCTTCCAGGCTCACACTCCTTTCCACAGAAACAAAAGCTTGGGTGTTCTCCATAGCTAAAGCCTGGTCTGGACACTGCAGGTGGCTGCTGTCAGACAGTCCCAGTTGGAAAGACTCTTCTTTGGTAGATCGGTCATTTTTATTGTCACAGGAAGACTCAAGTACAAAAGCTTGGGTTGGTTCCTCACTGCTCACACGGTCACGGCTCTGAAATGTAAAGGATTGCGTCTCAGCCACAGCAAAATCCTCCTCCTCCTGGATGTCTGAGCAGGGCGACAATGCTACAGGTCTTACTGCAGGCACTGCCGCTCCTGTTGGCCAAGAGAAAAAAAATGAACTAATGTTTCTGAAACAGACTCGTTTGACATTATTAAAAGTCATTTACTCACGCCTTAATGAACCTGAAGAGGGACTGACGAAGGCTTGAGTTGCCATGTCTTCCACTTCTTCATCTGAAATCCAAAGTAAAAGTCAATTTAAACTTGATGCTTTCTCATCGCAACACAACAAACACTTTACACAATTGGATCGAAGAAGTTAACACAGAATCTCAAGTCCACTCACTTAAAAACAGATCGATTTCTTCATTTCAAACCTCTCTCTCCTGCAGGCGCCGTCTTTATTTTGAGCACCAACAATACACTTCACATATTTTGTATTATTTTCTTTGATTATATTTCTTCAAAGAGTGCGCCTCACCTAAAACTGTGCCACTGATGTATGTCATATATAATCAGTTACTGAATTTTAGAAAGTATTTAAAAAGGTAATGCAATAAAACAAACGAGTAGATATTTACAGTCTAAATGAATTCTGAAGATTGATCGATTACCTGACATCTGCACAGGAGTGGAGCAGTTCTGCAGAAGGGGAGCCAGCAACCCAGGTGTAGTTTCCCTGTGCAGCCCGGGCACCTGGTCCTCACCTTCTTCTCCAATATCTGACTTCTTATCTTCTGTATCACTGTCGACTCTGACATCAGCTGGTTTAGCCTCATCCCCAGCAGGGGGCACGCTAGATTCATCCACATCTGTATCTGCATCAGAATCTGCCAGAGAAGCCTTTAAAGTTGGGCCAGGAGAAGCTGACAAGGTTGTGATACCAACAGGTATAGCCAGAAGAGATGCATCTTCCACATCTGTGTCGCTGTCAGAGAGAATCTCCAAATCAGCATCTGCAGTGGGGCGTGAATCTGCAACAGCAGCGACCACTGAGGGTTTACTGGTGGCAGGGACAGGGAGAGCCTCGTCATCCGTGTCACTCTCTATCTGCAGGTTGTCAGGAGCCACAGGAGCAGATTTAAGAGCTGTAAGCTTTATATCTGTTTTATTAGGTGTTTCATCTGTTGTATTTTTTGCTTCTTCTTCTTCGTCCTCATCTACATCAGTGTCACTGTGGAGGGGAAAATCTTCTGGTTGCACTGAAAAAGCAGAGTCTGCTGTGTGTGCACTCTGACATACTGTCGGTCCTGCTTTTGTGGCAGCGTCTGACACGACCGCATCATCGTCCACATCAGTGTCACTGTCCATGGTGACGCCTTCAGGTGGAATAAGTGAAACAGCATGAGGAGTTTTGGCGTTCTCATCAGAGGAAGGCAGAGCTTTGGGAGCTTTACCTGAAGCATCATCATCCTCATCGATATCTGTGTCACTGTCCATGTGAAACTGGGCCGTCTTTGGAGGTTGATCAACTTGTTGGTTTGTATTCAAGGTCACAGGCCCCGCTGATGCCACTTCTTCGTCCTCTCCCTCCACATCAGTGTCACTGTCCATGTTAAATGCAGGGATTGCGTCTGTAGAGACTGCTGGTGTTGACAATTCACCATCTCCTGTAAGACTGGCATTGCTTTCCTTTTCCACTGGCATATGCCAACCCCCTTTCAGAGACTTTGTCCCCGCTTGCACTGCTCTTTCTTCCTCCTCTTCACTGTCCTCCACAAGTGCAACCACTTTTTTTTTCTCCAACTGCTGTTGCGCCGCATCTACATCTGTCTCCTGTGTGGTGAAGCTGTCATGTCTGTTTGGTTTATTTTTAGAGGAAGAAGAGACTGTCATGGGGCTTTCATTGTCACTGTAGAACAGGGAAAAAACAAATTAACAGGTCTTACAATGAACAAGTCAAACATATGTATTAATGGGGTATGGCTAAGCCAGTAGTATAATCACAGTTACAAAAAGAATACCAACAAATAGCTTATTTTTATGGGTATACCTTTCAGGGACAACTTTGTTTGGGGGACTCAAGAATGACGAGCTGATGGGGCTGGATTTATGGGAGTCAGAATCAGACGCTACAAAGAGAATAAAAGTGAACTTGTAAACACCAGGTCCAAAAAGCATAGCTTCAATAGTTATAAATATTTACATAATGTACAAACCTAGAGTCCTTCGTCTTCGTTCTCCTCTTACTCTTGTTTCGCTGTCTGAGTCTGAGTCAGATTCTGGGACCAAGGTCCCCTGTGGCTGATGGGGAGTTTGCTCTAAGGTCAGGCAGCTGGCTCTGACAGGAGTCTCTGTCCCTCCATTGACACATTTCTTGCTGTCTGTGCTTGTGTCATCTCCCTTTTCTCCCGAGGCATCTGGCAACTTGGTCTTTACCCCTGAATTTTGTCTCAGAGGACAGCTTGCGTCCCCCTGAGAAGAGTCTACACCACAAATGACAAACTGACACGGGATGTCCGCCACCACCAAACTGTCACCTTCACTGAGGGCATAGCGTACATTAGGAGTCAGCTTTAAGCGGCCCTTGCGGGTCCCATTCATGCTCCCTAAGTCCCAAACCAAAGCTTCCATGTCCACTTCACTGCGACAGGCACGTCTCCGGTACACACAAAGGCAGATAGTAGCATGCTGTTTGGACACTGAGGACGCCGGCAAGGGCACAGTGCAGGAGTTGGGGTCACGGCCAAGCACATTATCACCCAAAAAGAGGGGAAACTCTGTGTGAAAGAGAGCATCATCATTAACGATATACTTAGATATATAGTCAGAAAGGTGAAGACATTTCTCTGGTTTAGATCTATTTATTTATGCCTTCATTTCATTTCAGCGTCTTTATTTGAGAGTCAGTATGTCACTGCAGCTGGTTTAAAATGCTGCAGCTCAGCTTTTTACTGGCAAATACTATTGAAACCGCATACTCCCAAACTGGCTTCCCTATTTGTTGCCTATTTGTGTAGTTTAATTTACTTTATTTGTTTATAAAACATCAATTTAATTGAGAGAGACAGAACATTAACCAAAATCCAGGAAAAAAAACATTACAAGTTTTGATTTGGATGTCACTGAGTGAAGTAAGTATTTGATCCTCTTGAATCCAACCAGAATTCTTGCACCCGCAGATTGGCTGTGTACAACATAACAATAAATCAGAAGAATGCATTTTTTACACTCCAACTGCTCCATCAACATGGGCAGGACCAAAGAGCTGTCAAAGAATGTCCTGGACAAGATTTTAGACCTGCACGAGGCTGGAATGGGCTGCAAGACCATCAGCAAAAAGCTTGGTGAGAAAGTGACAACTGCTGGGCCAAAACTACAATGGGAGGAGGTTACTAATGATCTGAAAACAGCCAAGAACACCACTGATAACATACTACACTGTAATGGATTGAAATCTTGCCTTCCCTGTTCAAGAAGGCACATGTACAGGCTCGTCTTAAGTTTGCCCGTGAACAGCTAAATGATTCAGAGAAGGTGTGGGATAAAGTGCTGTGGTCAGATAAAACCAAAATTCAGCTCTTTGGCAGTGAAATTCGGAAGTGAAATGCAGAGTACGACCCAAAGAACACCATCTCCACAGTCAAGCATGGAGGTGGAAAAATTATGCTTTGGGGCTGTTTTAATGCTGAGGGTACCGGACAACTTCACCGAATTAATGGGTCAATGCACTGGACCATGTTGATCCTTTGCCAACAAGAGTTTCATCACTAACTATTAAGGGGGATCAAATATTATGTAATGTGTTTATATTGTCCCTCTTTATTAAAATGAAACTAGCATACTAATTAGAGACTGTTCATTTCATTGTAACTGAGCAAAGTTGCAAATTCTCCAAAGGATCAAATGTTTCCCCCTCTGTATGCAAGATTTACACATTTCCCACGTGTGGGACTAGTAAAGGCTATTTTATCTTAAGCAGTACCAGACTGTGCAGATCACGTGTAAAAACAACATCAGTTAGCCACTCACCTGCCTCAGGTATGTGTTTATTTTTTAAGATGCACAGTTTAGCCAACGGTCGTCCAGTCTTATTTTCGATCTCCTCTTCATTATCTTCCTCATCTGACTCCAAGATTGAGTCACTGATAATCTGAGTAGCATCCATTCCTGGCAAAGCGCAAGACAGGAAGAGTGCTGCACATAAACACGGGTAACATAATGCATAAACTGTAATGTTAACGCATAATTAAGGTAACATTAGTTTTAACAGGGCTTTAAAACAAAGATCGAATAGCCTAATTAGAAACCTGTGCAGCTAACGTTAGCCTGAATGGCTAATTGACTCCCACCCACCATAGCGTTAAGTTAAAGTTCATCGGTACTTATTGACTAGCTAACTGTACCTGTGCCGTTGTATTCCTGCAAACACCCAATGTGTAGTGATCTAAACAGCGTTAAACAACGCGGAGGCAACTTTTATCAAAAGTGTATGGACAAGTCTCCTCTAAAATCGCATCCCTGTAATACCACTTCCGGTCAATATGAAGACAAAATCTGCTAACCGCTAGTTTGTGTGATTCAACCATCGACATCACAGACTTTATGTGTCTGCAACGCAGCCGTCAAATTGATTATTACTAGCAACGAGGCATATGTAAGAAAACCATTTCTGCTCCTACTTTCAGGAGAATTATAATCCTAACTTTCCAACTTAATTACTCTGAAATCTATGAAGTAAGTAAAGTGATTTGTACGGGTGACTTGACTGAAAAATGTTTAACTGACGTCCGGTGTTAGCCTGCAGTGAAGGTGCATTAAGTTTAAACCTAAGAAAAAGATCGTACTCGGACACCCACCTTCGCACGCCAGGCCTTGTCCCGTATAGATAAACAAAAAATGTCATGAGCGTCCTGGAAGTGATAAACCACGCCCACAATAGGCGTTTAACGATGAAAACGATTGGCCAATATAAGTATCACTCAAGCTATAATATGTTGCCATTGGACACTAACTTCTCACTCGATGTCTGTGATTGGCCCACATGTCCTCTGGACTTCAGCGTTCATACATTAATTTTGGCGCCGTGCACCATTTTAACCACTCAGACTGGATGATACCATTATGGGCTAATGTGGGTTTAGCCCATACCAATATGGGCTAAACCAAGGGTGTCAAATATACCGCCGTGGTGCCGCACAGGGACCAATTTGCTTTACTGGATATCATTTAAAATGATGTAAACTCGTTAATTACTCAGTAATAATATCAGGATTATAATAATAAAAATAATATCAGGATCGTGTTAGTGATGCAATGCCAGCATTACTATTTAATAGTAAATGTTTTTACATTAAAAATCTGAGTGATGAATATTGTTTATTTAGCAAAACTCCACGGGTAAAAGTTTTCTGCCTTTATGAACTGGAATATGTGCATGTAATGACAGCCGATCCACTGAATGCAAAAAACTAAGGGCGTGTATGGAGGCAGCATCTCTACCAGTTATACACATTTTGAGAGATGTCAAAATGTCAAGTGCATGTATCCCATGTACTAACATAACATACCTTAATCATAACATACCTTCATACCATGCACATTATAACATACCATAATAGACCCATTTGTGTAATATACTTACATATCTATATTATTGCTAATATATATTTGTAATATATCCATATCATGGCTAAAGCACTTCTGGATGGATGCAAACTGCATTTCGTTGCCTTGCACCTGTGACATGTGCAGTGACAATAAAGTTGAATTCTATTCTATTCTATTCTATTCTATTCTATTCTATTCTATTCTTTTCTACTAAAATAAGTTTAACACCTCTGATCTAAACTGTCTCCATTAGATATCATATAATGATATAGAAATCACATATCCTTATAAAAATAATGTAAGGTCTTTCCCTCTTCATGACACTAGTTTTGAATGTTTTGCAAAAGTTAAAATATGCATGATACAAGAGTTAAAATAAGCATTTGGTGCTGCTTTATTGAGGCCTTGTCCCAAGTAGGGTCTAACTAAATTCAATTATATAAATTTTGTGCTTATGTGTTTTATATTCATAGAGAAATTATCGCATCAAAACCCAGGTGTATGAGTAGGAGAATTAGTGGCCCAGCAGCACAGTTTTGCTTTGGGATCCAACTCTTGCTGCATGCCTTGGCCACGAAAGTCCACTAAAGTGCTTATGTGACCTTAAGTCACAGAGCTGGATGATGTGCACTGTAGGGGTGGGGTATAATATTGATAGCTATAAACTGCATTCCTTCCTGTGTTGTAGATTTCTTATATATTACTTATAGAAAAACAAATTATAAATAGAAGGCTGGCTGATGCCATTCTTATGGAAGGGAAACAGCGAGAAAAAGGTGATGTAATCAGTGACCAGTCTTACTGAGTGGTGAATCCAAATTTAAAAAATTTTTAAGAAGGAAGTCAAGAGAAAGAGGTACAACAGTGAGTGTCTAAAGGCATATTTAAAACACTGGAGGCTCTGCCCTGGTTTGAGGCTGCATTTAAGCCAGTGGTGCCAATGCAGTAAAAACATACCTGGACAGAAAAACACACAATGTAGGTGTGGGATCATCTTCACAGAGAGCAGAAAAAAAGGTAGCCAACATCCAAAGGCGAGCTTTGAATGTGCTTCGAGAAGCCTGAAAAATATTCCTGAAGATTTTTTTTTAAAGCCTTCCTAAGACAGTTCAGGTTAGAACTGTAAAAACATTTTTTTCCATAATTATTGTATTTCCTTGTGTGTTGTCATGTTCCAATAAATCACTGTACCCATTTCACATTTCCTTAGCATGATATAAAGAAATGGGTGTGGCTCAAGAAATTTACACATTATTGTACACCTCAATGCAATGAAGAAATCCTGCTTTCTGTGTTTTAAATGTTTTTCCTTCAGTTACATCAATATCTTGATGTATTGTAGCAAACTGTCCTCTATTGTAACATAGATGTGGAGTTTACTAGTCAAACTGTTTTTAAATGTATTTCCAGGGAAAAAAAAGAAGTCCTCTTGTCAAAACCTTTACTGTAAATTCCCAAAATGAAATAGCTCTTATGAGTTCCCTACAAAATGTAAACATCTCAAATAACACATGTATATAATTAGTAGGTTACTCAACCAGCAAATGCCCTCCTACTTTCTCTGGTGTTATGTTATTGTCATCTAAAAACTGCCAGGGTGCAATCTCTTCAACGCCAGATAGTTGTGGGAATGTGGGTTGGTGCAGAATGTTGCAAATGGATGTGGGCCCTTAGCCATCACAATGCTTATGGAGCAGAAATAAACCCTTTCATTACATCACATTAGATTTTCCAGTAACTCGCAGCTCTATCTAGCCTACTGTATACTGCACAGAGAGGGCCTGGATCTTACTTTCCGATTGGCTAAACTGATGAGAATCCTGTATGTGCGAAGAGGAATGAGAGGCAAATGAGTTCTCAGTCGACAACTTTATTTGCACTCAATGACAAGGAAAAACTAACAGACACTAAAATTTTATTCTAGCAGTGATCTTGACACTATGTTGGTTTCTTGGTTACTTGTGGTTGTTCCGTTTTGATTATTTTCTGTTTTGGCGATGATTTCTTGACCTTCACATCTTGACCTTTAAGCATCCTCTTCAGCTTCCTCCTCAAATTCACCCTCTTCCTCCGCAGTGGCATCCTGGTACTGCTGGTACTCGGACACCAGGTCATTCATGTTGCTCTCCGCTTCAGTGAACTCCATCTCATCCATACCTTCCCCTGTGTACCAGTGCAAGAAGGCCTTACGGCGGAACATGGCTGTGAACTGCTCGGAGATGCGCTTGAACAGCTCCTGGATAGCAGTGCTGTTGCCAATGAAAGTGACGGCCATCTTGAGGCCACGAGGTGGAATATCGCAGACTGCGGTCTTGACATTGTTGGGGATCCATTCAACGAAGTAGCTGCTGTTCTTGTTCTGCACATTGAGCATCTGCTCATCGACCTCCTTCATGGACATGCGGCCACGGAACACGGCGGCAACTGTCAGGTAGCGGCCGTGGCGTGGGTCGCACGCGGCCATCATATTCTTGGCATCAAACACCTGCTGGGTGAGCTCGGGAACTGTGAGGGCGCGGTACTGCTGGCTGCCCCTGCTGGTCAGAGGAGCGAAGCCAGGCATGAAGAAGTGCAAACGAGGGAAAGGCACCATGTTGACGGCCAGTTTGCGGAGATCTGCATTGAGCTGGCCAGGGAAGCGGAGGCAGGTGGTGACCCCGCTCATAGTGGCGGACACCAGATGGTTAAGGTCTCCGTAGGTGGGTGTGGTTAGTTTCAGGGTGCGGAAGCAAATGTCATACAGAGCCTCATTATCGATGCAGTAGGTTTCATCTGTGTTCTCTACAAGCTGGTGGACCGACAGGGTGGCGTTGTAAGGCTCGACCACAGTGTCTGACACCTGAGAACACAGAACTTCTATTCAGTTTCAAGACCTTAGGAGAAACCTCGGGCCAAAGAAACTATAATTAAAACCAAAAATTTATCATGTGCTATAACAAGGAGATGTTACCTTGGGGGAAGGCACCACACTGAAGGTGTTCATAATACGGTCTGGGTACTCTTCGCGGATCTTGCTGATGAGCAGGGTTCCCATACCAGATCCAGTTCCTCCACCAAGCGAGTGGGTGAGCTGGAAACCCTGCAGGCAGTCACAGCTCTCTGATTCTTTGCGGACCACATCCAGGACTGAGTCCACCAGCTCAGCTCCCTCTGTGTAGTGACCTTTGGCCCAGTTGTTTCCAGCACCACTCTGACCTGAAGGAAAAGGAGTGGCATTCAAGTGAGTAACATTTTTCCTTAAATCAAAAAGGAGCATGAGATATGTCTTTAAGGCACCCACCGAACACGAAATTGTCAGGTCTGAAGATCTGACCAAAGGGTCCAGACCTCACAGAGTCCATGGTGCCAGGTTCCAAGTCCACCAGAATGGCCCGAGGCACGTATTTACCTCCTCCACGAGAAAGAGAAGAAGAGGAGAGCAAGACAGAGAGAGAAATAGAAAGAAAAGGGGGCAAAAAAAATACCAGCTCAAAAATTCAGGAAGGAATGACCTTTGGATATAGGTGAAAAGGTGTAGTAAGTAATAGTACAGTAGAGATGAGAATGCAAGAAGAGATGTAGTGTCATACTTTGGAATTAAATTGTCAAGTTAAAAATGAATCCATATATAATACACCCTTACTTATTAACACGAGTTAGGAAGACAGCTAACCTGTGGCCTCGTTATAGTAAACACTGATCCTGTCCAGCTGCAGGTCACTGTCTCCATGGTAAGTCCCCGTGGGATCGATGCCATGCTCATCGCTGATCACTTCCCAGAACTGCAGACACAAAATGGAAGGTATCACATGACAGTTACTTGCAACGAAAGTACACATCTACCCATTAGATGTGCGGTTCATGGGATCGGGGGGTGGGGGTGAAAATGAGGAAAACAGCAGTGGCTTTGCATTTTTGTTTTCTGATGGAAATGACAGGATTTTTCCATTTTTCAGCGAGCCATATCTGAACCCATTCCCAACAACGCTGCTTTTGAGATTTCCGTAAGTGTCGAGTGATGACTTCGCAGAATGCAGTTCTTTCATATGTAAAATGCAAAGGAGGGAGGAACAAAGGCGCTACAGATCCATCTGCGGGCCAACCTGCAAATAAAATCCATTTGCAAGCAGTCAGACGACACTGAAGATACTGACTCCCTTCAGATCTGAATTCATGTCTTGTTCACTGTTTAAAGACTACATTCAGATCTTTCAGAGTGTTTATGTATTAAATCTCGTCAGTGCATATTACTCTACCATATTTACTGATATCGTCCAACTCAGACATTTCTTTTCAACACAACCAGTGATTTCCTGCTAACAGCGCAATACGAGGATTTGGAATAATCTGGATAAGCTGGCTGTATAGCAGAGCACTGCTTAAGAGATTGGGAGTCAGCTGTGGACCAAGTATCATGACATCTAAAT